TGCCTGGCATACCTCATTTCTAAGATAGAAAACACGGGCAAAAAAATTATAGGTGTGTTTCTATTGAGATTCACTGATGACATTTAAAAGTTCCCAGTTCTCAAAGCCTTGTGCCAATGTGAACTTTACAGATGTCCACTCCCAACTACCCTTGCAACATCCACCTCACACCAGGCCTTGTCCTGGATGGTACACTGAGACACCAGGAAAATACTTGAGGGAGCAAAGTTGCAAGTTGAATTCATGAAGATCGATTTGGCCTCTATTGGCAAAACCATATGGCAACTCCCATCATACATATCTTCATATTTGTGCCTCGTGTAAGGAAGTTACAACTGTCATTCACTTTTATTTCAGATGAAGGGGGTTCAGTGCTGTTTGCCCCCACGCTCATTTCAGAAGCCTGTATAAATCTTCCCCCACATGGGAATCATTTTGAACGTATTAAATAATGATTTTTCTATGTCTCTCCCACTTTGATGTAGCCTCCTAGGAGAAAGAACTATCCTGGAAATACCACTTGGTCATGTTTTAACAATTTGAGGTTCGCTTCAAAATTCTTCAATAAAATGTAAGTTAAAAAAAAAAAAATAAAAGGCTCCAGCACTTAGCTCAGTTGATAAGAGGCCCTGCCCCCCCCAATTATTAAGTAGAAACTTTTTGAACAAATACTTTAAATTCACCATTCGTTTTCCTATTTTTAAAGCTATTTTTTTTATCATTTGATTAATTGCTTAAAACTGTACACAAAGATAAAGGGAACTTTGAAATTCATACCTTGGAGTATTAACATGTACTCAGGACTAGATGTAAATGTCAGAGAGAAAAAAGATCTAATGAACTCTTTATTGGTGAAATACAGTATTGCAGCTGCCTAGAATTTTAAATGGCTTCTAGTCAGCTCCAAAGCAAAGTAACTACAGAAGTTTACTTACAGCATGGGCTCTCATTCAGCACTTCCAATATCTGCTTCCAGGGTAGATGGAAGTCATTTGTTTTGCTAGAAGTTACAGCTATTTCATTTTGTTGAAGTTTAGTAGATCCTTTTAACACTAAAAAAAAGTCCAGAAAAAAAAAATAATAATGAAAAAAAAAAAAATTGCAACCGCAGAAGAATTTTCCTGTCTAGAAAATTACACGACCATAAGTTTTCCTTTTCCCTGATGCCTTCTCTGCCATAATAATGGCTTCAGGATTTAAATCCTTTGCTGCTATTGTGACTTCAAAGCCTTAAAACTGCAATTGAATGAAGTAGTTCATCTGTCATTATTCAAATATGAAGCAATTATGATGAAATAAAGATAGAATTCCATTGAGAAATACCCCAATCAATTCTCACTTATATTTAACTAGAAGCATAAAACGATGCTTAGAAGAGTAAGCTTAGGTAATAAAAACTCGGCATATAAAAAGTATGAATTACTGATCTATAACTTACTCATTTCTGAATAAGCTGTCTAAATATATTTCACAAATATTGACAAAAGTTTAAGCTTACGATGCAAAACTGTCTCTCAGCTGGTTGTGGAGAGTGAGAGGCTTTTCAGAAATGTATTTGCTTTACTTTGGGTACCCGGAGGTTGAGATGGGAACCTGCAGAGATTTTTTTAAGGGTCCCTGAGCAGGTCAGCTCATTTTAAAAGGTGTCAGATCATGACATGCTAATTGCATCTGAAAAGAGTGGGTTTTAGAGGTGAATCTATGAAATAACACACCTACCTCAGCCATGTCTTCATTATAGCACTGAACACGGCAGTGCTGGGGTGATGGTTGGACTCAATGATCTTCTATAACCTCAACAATTCTATGACTCAGGAAAGGCATTAAAATAAAATATTGCTGTCAGTGCTTTGATGTCGACACATCCTGTCAGGCCCTGATATGGATTTAGCCCTAAATGCTTGTTTTCACATTTGTGAACCCAATTGAAGGCCACCCCTACCCCAGAACTTCACAGGGAATTCCCACCTGTACCCAGTGCTCTTTGGGAATATGCAACACAGATTAAGAAAGTTTTTGTTTCTTTATTTTTAGTATCTTTCAACCTTGCTTCCTCCTTTCATCTTTCTTGCTTGATCTACCCGTGTATAATAATTGGTTGGTAAAATGAAATCAAGGTGGGTTCTGTAGAAATCAGACCAAGGATGCCAACATTTTGGCTCTTAAGCTTTTCAAATGGTCCTCACCCTTCCCATTCTCAATTATGTCACAAACTCAGACAAGAAAAACACTCTAAGTCATGCCTTTTTCTTCACTCATATTGTTCTTTTGGAAAACAAACCCATCCTTCTCTGCTTATGAAAGAGGACTTTGCCTTCTCTTTTGTCTTCCCATGGCAAAAAAGGGTTAAAGCCACACAAATAGTATTCTCCCCTCATGTTTTCCACAGTCACTTAGGAGCTCTGTATGGTTTTAAATTCTGTTGTGCTGAAAAAGATCACACAAGGATCACACATAAAACAATATACTACATATTCACATTTATCTTCCTTGATTTTGTAGGCCTTTTATCACTCTACCTGGGTATCAATTTTCTGTCATCTACAGGCACTCATGTCTTGCAGTTCAATTTGAAAAATATAATTTCTTTAGACAATACAGGAAGGAAATGTTATCACAATTAGAAAGCAGTGGTACTTAATATTGAATTTTAAATAAGAGATGTAACTAGCAAGAAGCATTTGGGGTATATACAACTAATTATTTCACACATAATTATTCCTGATATTTCTCTAAATGTGATAACTTAAAGCATTTGAAAAAGCAGACTGTAATATTATTCTTTTTTTTTCCTGCGGAAGCTCTTTCACTTGATATTCTTTTGCTAAATAATATGTAAAATACTGACACCTAATGTTAACTTTCAGTATTATTCATTTTGCAAAACTTTTACTTCCAAGTAAGGAAAGCCCATGTGAAACTGGTGCTTATGCTGCACTTTTGTTACTGTAAAATGCAATGTAGCCTCTTCGCATTTTTTGGAAATAATACTCTGAATTTATACATGTCCCTAGAAAAGCCAGGAGCTTTCAGGTTTATCTTCACAGCTCACAGGCAAAAAAGAGAGAGTAACTCAGAAAAGTTGAAATAAGTGAGTTTTTGCACAAAGAATTTAATTAAATTCATCAAATGAAAGATAAATACTTATTTTTAAAGTCAGCATTTTCACCTGTAGCCTGAAATGATACTAAAAGACAAAATACTATTAAACATTTATTAATAATCTCTTAGTCTTTGAAATCTAAACTATATTCAGTACCTTACCTGCCCTATTTGGTTCACTTTCCTTAACCAGAGACACAAGACATTGTTTTCACAGTTTGTGGATTAAATGCAGATGCCAAACTTCACTAATTTCACCATTTATCTCCCTGTAACTACCACAATCAAAACATCTTGAGATAGAGCTTTCCAGCTGACTAACACTCCTGTGCTATTCTTTATAACAACATTCTAGTTTAAAAAACTCTTCTTATTCTTCACAAGTGCTAAAAATACCAACAAATGCTTTATTTGCAGTTCTTTCAGCTTTTCCCTACACATTACAACCAATTAAATAGGTGTTACTGCAGCAAGGGTTTGAAAACTACACCTCTTTGGGGAATTATAAAGCACAGATGAAGGCCCTTGGGTTTCCCTGCAGGAAACCCAGGAGATGCTGGAGATGCTCTAAGAATGGGACAATTTCAAGTAACAAAAATATCACAAGCCCAAATGGTGTAGTCTTCACTACCCCTCAAATCCCTTCTCACCCTTGAAGTAGAATAAAAAGAAATATAATAGAATTCTAGAGTAGTTTGTCTTGGAAGGGATCTTTTAAAGGTCGTCTATTCCAACCTCTCTGCAATGGGCAGGAATATCTTCACCTAGGTCTGGCTTCTCAGAGCCCCAACCAACCTGACCTTAAATGTATCCAGGGATGTGGCATCCACCACCTCTGGGCAACCTGTTCCAGCGTTTTACCATCCTCATTGTAATATAATGCTTTCTTATGTCTAGCCCAAATCGACTTCCTTTCAGTTTAAAATCATCACCCTCTTGTCCTATCACATCAGGTCCCGATGAAAAGTTTGTTCCCAACTTTCTTATAGGCCCCCTTCAGGTGGCGAAAGTACCGTCAGAAGTAATTTTCTAAGTGTGTCATACCAAAAATCAGACACATTGAATATCATCAGAGAGAAAGTTCTAGTTGATTCTTGAAAAAGGGTATGTGAATAGTACAGGGCTATAGGGGCTTAGCTGCCACTTATGCCAAGATGTTATTTATGACTTGAAACAACTTGGATAATGTGTTGGTGAAATATACAGCAGTTCTTCCACATTGCTTTTAGCTGCCTGGTGCAAATCTCTGCAACAATTCGTGCCACACAGTTAGTTAACAAAGAGATATTTTGCTGCTGCTAAAAGAGTTTAGAGTTCATTTTGCCTAATCCAAATTAAATCTTGTTAGAGTTACATGGAGTGCTCATAGAGCCCTTCACGCTGCTTTACACGAATCTACAACTGTTCTCAGCTTTCTCACACCCATTGTCTCTAAGGTGACTACCTAGAAAGATCAAATGCTTTGGTTTAGCCAACTGTATCACACCAAAAAACGTATCTGCAGCATAAATTTATTTTACAATTAAACAATTAATTAAACCAGAGTTTCAAAATGTTGGGCCCTTTGAAAGATTTGGTGTGCAGCAGTTAACAGTTCTGAAACAACTAATTGTTCAACTTCTACTTTTCAAGTATACCCTGTGCTTTAAATAGAATTACTAAATTAAAAATGTAAATTGGACTGTATCTTTTAACAGTTGGTGATTTGTCTATTTTCCACATTTTATTATGCATCATTTTTATAATAAAGAAGGAATTTTTTTTCATTCCTGTTCTAGTTGATAGCAATTCTGCCATGCTTCTCAAAGCTAATGTAATAGAACCTACATAAAAATGTTTAAGAAAAGCCCCATTAAAATATACAAAGCATACTAATTCATGGAGTCAAAGTCAAAGCAGAGTGGAAATATGAGCTTTAATAAAACTATGTCTGTTGTAAATAACTATTCAAGCAAAGTCATTTTTTCCCAAATTGCACGGGGTACAGCTCGGTCTACTCGAAGCAAAGAATCGCTCAGCAGGATAAATGCATCTTGGTCAGGAAGAGATTAAAAGATACAGCTGAGCCATCAATAAGAAGCAGATAGTGCAGCATTATTTGCTGTTTGTTTTGAAGATGTAATTGCAGATCCCAAGATTTCAATAAATCTGTGCACGTCACTGAAAGAATTGTAGAGAGGAACTGGGGCAACGCGGAGAGCGTTGGGTTCTCTCAAGTCACACTGCAAAACAGAGAGGGAACATTCAGTAAATTCAGGTCACTTCATGTTTATCTGTCAGGCTATATTTTCAAATGCCATTCTTGTCTTCAAGGAAGGATGACTGGACTGACAAGGAGACACAGGTAAATACCTTCGGATCCTCAAAGAAGTACGAGGAGGAGCATCACTGTGAAAAACACAGCGAAAAAAACCACTGCATTACCCAAAAAAGGATGCAAAGTTTAAGATGGGCAGGACTTTAGAAGTGCTATTTAGGGCTCCAAACCAGCTGTGTGTGCCCAGAATTGACCTTAGTGCCTATAACAACCTACAGCTGAAGAGGCCCAAAGGTGACAAAAAAACCAAACCAAAACAAAAACACCACAAAAATCCCATATTCCAGTAGGATAGAGTGTGTTGTACTACAGGTACAACTAATATCACAAGGCTTGCAGTATTTTTCTTCCTCTCTCTGTGAATTCGAACATTTTCCTGAAAATAATAATCCCTCATATTTGAAACATATTACTGCATTGCAAAGACAAGCCAACAGTGTGAGGGCCTTGTGCCCTCTTAAAAGCACCAGTTCCTGGAATTCCCTGGCAGCACCAAAACAGAAGCACACTTAGCCTAGAAGAGTTACCCTTTGGGGAGACAAGTTACCAGCAGAAATAAAACTGATATCTCATTTATATGGCATTACACTATCAGCCTCACCATCCAGCACATCTAAATCACCCAATGAATGGACTTAAATTTAACTTATATTCTTCTAGAGTAGTGCTCCGTGGTAATCATTCCATTACATGGCAGTGCCATTCAGTGATTTCTTTTTCTGAGTGCACAAGTAAAGACTGAAGGTGTAAGAAATTTTCATCAGTCCCAGTGTCTGGGGTTTTCCCCTTATATGAGACTATATTTAAATAAAAGTAAATTATTACATTTTAATGGTATAGCTCACAAAACAGTGCATAAGAAGATGAACTTTGATTTACTCACAGCTACTCCTCTCTTCTCCAGCTCTTTAAACACAGATTTGATCGGAAGGGAAAACAATAGAGTGAGTTGGCATCCTCTTTCCTCAATCCGAGACGGTGTGATAATTTTTACAAAGGGCTTCTCTGGGTTTGTTTTATCCTCACTGAAGTAATGTTTTATCAGGTATTCCAAGTAGCCAGTGAGCAGAATGGATTTCCTTCTCAATGCCTTCATCGTAGTTTGATTAAAAACCTATAATGATTTGAAATCACTGGAATGAGAATGTGTTGCCATAGAAAATGGAAAGGAAATAAAGAAGACTAAAAGGGTGGCACATTTCTCTGTACATTATCAGTGGAATCCAGCAATATCAGATACATATTATATATAAACATGATAGAACTGGGCTTTTGGAAACTCAAGATAATGTTATGCTTTAGATAATGAAAAACATTTTTGTCTACTGTTAGAAATTTTCACACACATCTATCTCTGCATAAATGAACTTGCACACAAAACCAGTTTGCTAAGAGAGCATTCATCTGCATATCTGAGGAGGATCCATAGATTCTCTATGGATGCTACACTGCTCCATGAAACTCAAAATCACATGAAGGTTTTTCCATGTATGTACCTCTAGCAAATACTTTCTCACTGTCCACAACTGCCTGACAGCAGGGTGTAACCAAGTGGGGGTCAGTCTCTTCTCCCAGGTAACAAGTGCTAGGAAAAGAGGAAAGGGCCTCGAGGTGCACTAAGGGAGTTTAGGTGGAATATTAGGAAAAATTCCTTAACTCAAAGCGTTCTTGAACATTGGAACAGGCTGCCCAGGGCTGTGGTGGAATTACTGTCCCTGGAAGTGTTCAAAAGGCACATAAATGTGGCACTTGAGGACGTGGTTTAGTGGTGGGCCTGGTAGTGCTGAGTTAAAGGCTGGACTCGATGATCTTAGAGGTCTTTTCCAAAGCAAATGATTCTATGATTCTGCTAACAAAATCCAAGGGCTGAGACTGAAACATCGTGACTGGTCTACAAACTCTTGTCTTTGAAAGCACAAAATTTATACTAACATATTGGCTTTACTGCTTTAAGTCCTGTACAGGCTCTCCCTCTAGTCCACATGAAGAAAAAATATTCACTAAATTCTTGTTTAATAGCTCTGTGCTACAAGAACCGGTGAGTTTCAGAAACTCAAAATATCATGAGACTTGCAAAAACGACTGCCTGAAAATGGCAGTGCTATTTTGTCACACAAACAAGAACAATGTGACAGAGGAGTTTGGGAGCATAAGGTGAGACAGCTTCCGCTTTTGCTTTGGAAAGGTTCAGTTACAGGGAATAATGGAAGAGGTGAGCGCAGAAACAATCTACCTATGCCTTCCTCAAACCCTCTCTTCTTCCTATGGAAGTAGCTTCAGATTAAAATGACAAGACATAGATATGCAAGAGCCCAACATCCACTTCAAATCACATCCTGGCACATCAATGCAATATTGCTTCTCATGGACAGTTATCCCTCCACCAACTGCAGCTGCAAAATCAGAGGCAAGTGATTTTCCTGGATGAAAATCCATGATCTTTGCTCTCATGAAATCACGGGTCCAGACTGAAGGAGTAAAAATTTTAAGGTTATTTATATCATAACCTGAAAGAGTGTATACAGAGGTACCTGAGAAATCCCACTCAAAATACAACAAACTTTGGTTTTCAACAGCATCTGAAAATCATTCTTTTGTGGAATATCCCAAGTCTCACTCTCTGATGCTTTCACAACCACTAGATGCTGCACGAAACCAAAAGCCCCTGCATGTGTTTTCTGTGAGATGGAATATGGATGCTGTAAAACAGAATTTGCAAGGAAATGAACGTGACAGGGACCAGAGCCACCAGAGCACTCAGCACTTGCACAGGTCAGTAAAAATCCAGAGGTGCTTCCCTCACCACCCAGGCAGGCAGAGAGCACACAGCACTGTTCAGCACATAACTGGAGGGAAAAGGGGGACCTGCCTCCTATTCCTCCAGGATTTGCAGCAGTGTGAAGGATGGATCTCCTCAGGCTGCATGCAAAAATCTGTTTCCACGGGCTTTGAGCAAGGAATATTTGGTCTCCTGGGTGAAATTTTTTGAAAAAGGTCTTTTAAATGTGGCTGTAGAGCGCTCCCCTTTTTTCCGTAAGAGGGAGCAGCTCCTGCCATAACAGTCACTTTAAGCATTATTGAGGAATAACATCCATTAACACTTGCAGCTTTCATTGTTTCCATTGGAAACACTGCCTTCTGCTTAATGTGTCCCAGTGAAGGTGGCATGCAATTTCACTAGCCATCTCTTGCCAGACATGAAAACTATTTTGTTTCCCACTGTATTAGAGCAATTAGCACTGGGAAATCCTGGCTGTGCCAAAAGGTAATGTGGGCATGGAAAGGGGAGGCGATGGAAACTGCTCAGCCCTCATTGTTCGAGGCTCCCTGCAGTGGGCTAAATGACACCAGCCCACACAAACCAGAACACTGACAATCTGGGTCATAGCAGAACAGCTTTCAGCTTATCTCGGAGGTCACATAAAGTTTAAAACAATATATTGGATGTTTAAGGACTAACAAAACAAATTGTCAGGCGGAACAAGAAGCGTTGCTGTGCCCTTTGCAGTCCTTCAGCGTTGCATGCAAGATGGAGAGAGCATAACTGGCAATTTCCTGACTTTGTTTGCTTAAGATACTGTTTTTTCAGTAAATGAGGAAGAGAGACATACAGTGCATGGACACTGTTCTTTGTTCCAGCATCAGCTTTGCTGTTCCATTAACGTTAATGGAATGTTAAGCAGAAATATATTTCTCCCGTTTCTGCTGGTGGCAAAAACTTGCTCACCAAAGGCTTTCCTGAAAAGCAGCTTAGGGATAATTTAATACAGTAGAATATTTAAAGAATATAGTAGGTAAATCTGAGTAACACAATCCTTTCCAGCCACAAAGACCCAGAGTCCTGATTTCAGGGGTGAACCATCCCTAAGGGAAATGCTGGTACATCTCAATATGAAACACAGAACCACATAAGGTGTTTGGAGAACAGCTCCATGCCTTCAAACAGGGAGGAATTGTGCTCTCCAAAGTGGACCACAGGCTTTCAACACACAAATCACACCTTTACAGAAAGGGAGGGATTATCTTTGGGTGGCAGAACTGCCCTTCCCAATGCCGCAGTCTCCGCAATTCATACAGAGATAGGGCAGAGATGGACTCTGCTCATTTGGCCACCAGAAAAACAGTGAAGATATGTAAGAAAAAACATTGTGGAGCTATGCCACACATGAACTCCCCTTTCAGGAAGCATTCACAGGCAGCTTCTGTCTTTTCTGTCTGTAACCAAAGGGATGACAGTGGAGGACAGGTTCCCTAAGCCACTGGTTCAGTGTAGACCCCAGGACACTCATCTCTTTCTCATCTCTATAAAGGAGATAAGTCTGCTTTGCTCAGGAAGTATATGTAGAAGCAACTCTGGATGTAACTTTTCAGAGTTATGTGATTTCTTTCTAGGAGGATCTTGGACAGCATCCTTTGTGTGAGTTGCACTGAAGCAAACCTGAATATCTCTATGGGACAGAGATGGTGTTCCTACTGAGCCCCTAAATTTAAGTGGGGAAAGCCCAGTGCAGTCACTGGATCCAACAGCAAAGTTTGTGAGAACAGTGAAGGGGTGAGTATATTCATTACAGACCTTGATGTCTCAGGGTTGTGAGGTTATTTTGTTTGCTTTTCATTACCTCTCCCCTTCATTTTTAACTATGTTGCAGATTTCTTTGAGGCAGACAGCAATAATACACGTAACATTCATTAAACATTTTTACACTCTTAAATTGAGGCTCAAAGTAAAGCAATTACTTACCTCTAAACTGGCGTGCAGAGCACAGACCAGTAAAATTGGAGGATTTGATAACCGAAATCCATTAATTCCTTCACTTAGTTGTAATTCTGGAAAATGAATAACTTATATTAGTGTTTTTGATTTCTTCCTTTTAATGGATTGGACCTTATCTCGAAGTCTGTCCTCACGCAATAAAATATTTCCCTAATGTGGCCTGTAGGAATCTGTCATTAAAAGCAAATAGTAATCTATTCCCAGCTAATACTTTTAACTTCGAGAGAAGCCCAATTTTATCCAGCAGAAGACCTCATTAGTAGCTTCATGGGAACCAGAGGACTGCAATTAATTTGTTTAAATGGTGTGTGTTAAAACCACCTTTACACTCGAATCTCTTTTAATGCTGGCACAAAGCAGAGAAATTCCAAGTCAGCAGAGGCGCCGCTCACGCGGAGCCGGGAATCACGTTCCTTAACTTTATTAAACTGACGAGACACATGGGAGGCTGCATATGCAGCTAAGTGTAGCTTCAGGCCACGTAGGGAAGTTGCCCAGACTTTGGGCTGTGAAATTTTCACGAAATCTGTTTAATAAATCTACAAAGCCTCGCTGTAAGTTCCGTGTCACCGTCTATATTTCATGCTCCAGCACCAGAGCAAGAGGATTGCGGCGGAAGAGAAGCTCTTCACGCACTGCAGACTGGCTGATTTTATAATGCCCAACTTCTCCCCTACAAACTGCTCATGGAAACGAATAAACAACGTTTTCTTCCTTCTAACAGTGTTTCGAGGCAATTTGTGTCTCCTGCTGGCTTTCCATAGTGCCACTCTCTTGCATTTGGTCAGAAAACAAAGAGCAGACCGAGGCTATTAGGGAGGTGTTCTCCAGCCAAAGCCACATCAACAGGCGCTGCCACAGAAAATTAAAAATATATTAAAAACAAAACAACCAATCAAACCAAAAAGCTCCTTTCTCATCCTGAATCCCCCAGGATATTCTCTCTGCCATGCTTTAAACTGGAGCTGTGCAGTCTAGCTGTCAGATTCGGAAATGAGTCCTCATTTTGTATTGGGACAATAAATACTTCGCTATTTCAGAGCAGGCTTTGTCTTATAACCCATCCTCCCCTAGTGCAAGAAATTTGGAGATGCTGAAACATTAGTGGCACTTCATGACTTATGTCAGGTTGCCTTACCTTTATTTATATAATTTCTCATTAATTCCAGTGGAACTAATCCTGAAGTAAGATATTACCCAAGTGAATGATAGCAGATCCTCGCTCCTCAGGGACTTATGAATTTAATTCACTGAGATACTTTGAAAGTTCCATCCATATTCTATATCTGCATTTTGAAGGTATTTCAGCAAAATGTCTGGAAGCAGACAGTCAGACCCATATGCCCACACATAAATTTATTCCAACATTGATTTTGTTAACTCCATTGCATTACATGTTTTGGGTGAGTTTAGCTTAATGCCTTTAACATAAGTGAGGAAATGCAAAGTTCTGCCCTTTCTCCTCAAGCTACTACAAAAGTGAAGCTGGTTAGATATAAGTACACCAAATAAGGTAAAATTGGAAGTGTAAAAGTACTTACTGTTTTCCATGAGGAATCTTGTTTTGAAGTCGTGACCCCACCAGCCAATTAGCCTAAGATTTTATAAAGAAAGTATAATTAATAGAAATCTTGGTGTAATATCTTTTCATTTAATTTGAGAGCTAAGAGCCATTTAAAATTAAGAAATATATCTATTTCCAATAATACATTTTATTTCTAACAATGACATTAAAATGCAATAAATTCTAAGAAGAGATGGCACTAAAAACTTAGTATTTGGAAATTTCTCTTTTACTACGAATGATAAAATACACCACATCTTTCAATTAGCTATTGATTTCTAACAATATCCTTTTTCTCTGAAATCATTTCACAAAACAATAAATAGAATAGAAATATTTCCACTCTTTTCTCCCAAGGCATTACATTCAAAAATAAATTTATTTTAATGAATATTGAAAGCTAAAAGGTGTTATGAAATCTGACTTAGTTTCCCCAATAAAAGGACTCTGTAATGAACAGCAGGCAGACAACAGGACCTCAGAATGAGGATTATGTGGGCATTACCTTGTCTTTACTGTGAGACTTAAGTGTGAATTCTGTATACACTTTTCTTCTCCTGAATTGACTTTATTAAAAAAAAAAATTAAAATAAAAAGTAATCCAGTTTAATGCAATATTCCGGGTTTTTTTTTAAGATTATGCCAAGAAAAAAAACCCAAACAACTTTTTTGAAAATAATTTCCCTGAGCTTGTACATTAAGATGACACTACATTATTAACTCACATTTACTCAAGGACATAGCTATGAACAGTTTTCCAAAGCACTGGATCACCCAGTGCCCAAGGCACAGCAGGCAAAATCAATATTGCAAAACCAAGGAGTCCCTCCCCACCTCCCTTGGGTTCTCTCCTTCTTAACTCAGCCCACAGTGATACCAGTGACTAATATTGTCAGTTCTACTTGGGATCCCCCGTTTATCAATGCTGTTACAATATCAAGGAGTCACTATTGCAGACTCCTTCCTGAACTTCCAAGCTCTACAGGACTCTACAAAACCTTCCTTCCAAGGTTTTGCTCAGTTTTCCCTATGCCAGCAGAGTTGTTAGGCACTAAGCCTGGCACGTGTTCAAAAGTTGTAATAGTAAAAAAATCTACAAGTAAAACTCTCAACAGATCAGCATTCCTGGAAGTAAACAGGGAAAAGAAAGTCATGGCCCCTCTCTAAAGCAGGAGCACTTTTTGCCTAAAAGAGCTTAGCTCTGCAGAACTAAGACCACTTTCAACTTAGAAACTTGTTATATGAACACTGCGGAGTGTAAAATAAAGTACTTCATATTTCTGTATAACAACACAGGTTTTATGTTTACTTCTATGAAATGTTCTCAGCTGCATCCAAACAGAGTGTATATAGAAAAAGCACGTTTTTTTCTTTATTGCTGCATGATGTTTTTATTATTCTAAGACCCATGAAAATTAATAGTGCAATATACATTCATTTCACGTGAGATATTATATTGCCAAAATGAATACACCCCAAATAAAGCATAAAGCAGCCTCTGCCCAGGTGACTCAGTTACTGATGCTTTGGATCATAAAAGATATTTCATATATTTTTTACAAACTCTATAACATATAGACAACACTGTACAGAAAACCCTGAATATTCTGTGTTACTGCAACATACTACTAAAGCCAATGGCATGCACATTCCATGAATTCCAAAAGATGTAAAGAGAAAAAAAATCCACAGGAAAGATGACATTTGGATTATTGCTCTGCAGCAAGGAGGAAACAATTCTAAGTTTTTTGTGGACCACATCCTAAAGCGAAAGACAAAATAAATATCAATCAGACTGTGACCCAGGTCGAGCCTGATGAAAAGCACTCTGGTTGCATTGTGAATGCTCAAGACTCGCTAATTCTGAAATTGGCTCAAACCCAGGTCTCTGCTGCAGCATCACGTTTGCAACTTGGGAACTGAAATTTCAGAACTTTTCCAAACTGACAGAATGAAGGGTTTTTTTAAAGACAGTTTTAGCTGTCTTGCCCTTTCCTACCATAATTTGACAATTTGCTTTTCCTCTTCTTGGTTTTTTTTTGGTTTTTTTTTTGGCTGTTCTAGAACTTCAGAGGTGTCACTACAGGATGTGCACTTTGAGGCAGCTCTGGTCCTACACTTTCACTGATCTAATGGTCCATATGGATGTCATGTTATTTGACATTTAAGCTGACAGGCTTCAAAGTGTGGAAATTAACAAAATCTTCACAAATTATAGCAATTTGCTGTTTACAATTTTCTGTGAAAATTTTGAAATGAAGGTTGCCACCGCTATGCCAAATTTCAACCTGTTATGATGGGAAAGAGCTAAGGTGTTAAACCCCAAACATAACGCTCTATAAATGCTCACTAAAAATAATAGGCAATAAAACTGCACATTAAATTACTGGAGTAAAATTTCTTATTAAAGAGTTGTTATCCAGCATGCAAAGTGAACTGCAGTCACCATTTCAACTATTCCTATTTCAAAAAACAAAGGCAACAAGATCTAAACTGATTTTGAATTCCAAAACTATTTTTTTTCCAACAGTCATAATGTGAAAAGCTCTGAAAAGCCTTATATGATGTGCTTGTGTTTAAAAACACCTTAAACATGTTAGCAATGAGTCTCTAGAGTCACGTACTTTTCTCTGCAGATAAAACCCATTTTGGGAAGACTGTTAAAAATCAGTGTCTAAGAAAAAACAGTTTCAATTGTGCAAATGTTCCATTATAATTTTAAAAATTCAAATTTATCCAAACTGAGCCCTTGTTTTAACATAGCACTAATCAAAATTGCTGTCTCAGTGATGGATGGCTTGTGGCTGCAGCATCCTCCTGCCAGTCTCAGGTACCTCCAGTAGCCTCCTGAAGCTGCTCAGCAGAGATGTTCCTGGAATACCTTCACAATTAACATCTCTCCATCCAGGAGCAAAAACTTACATGAAATCCATTTCAATCATGCCAAAAAAGAGCGTAAATTAGTGTTGAATTAACTATGGGTTTTTCTGCAAAGAGTGCATGTTCTTCTATAGCAAATAACTTTTAAAAAAGATAACTCCTTGTTCTAATTTATGCCTGAAATTAAACCCATGTCATCATAGAATGGTTTGAGTTGGAAGGGACCTTAAAGGTCAGATCTTTCCAAGCCCTCTGCCATGGGCAGGGACACCTTCCACAAGATCAGGTTGCTCAGGGACCCATCCAACCTTGCCTGTGTCCTCATGGTTTGATAACACTGAGACTTTCCCAGGGAATTCTGCAGCTTTCCAGTCTTTACAAGGAACTAATTTTCACACGTGCTACATAAAATTTAAAGTAAACTGTTACCAGCTCAGTTTCATGACACAAGTAAGAATATAATGAAATACTGCTGAAAGGTTTTCGAATCCCCTATTTTTACATCTAAATGTTCTCCTATTTTACAAATCAATGAACAAAGATTTGCCGGGTTGGAAAATGACTGCAGAAAGGAACAGTATCCTCTCATTTAGTCATGCCCTCTTTGAGGCCATTTACACCAGGGAACAATCCCTTCAATAAGTATTTTTATTTAGCTCATTTTCCTCCTTCGTATCTGTCTGCATTAGACTGAAGAACTGGTTGTTCATAGCTTGAGTCATCTCGTTTGTAGCTGCATTAATGATGCAGGAGTGCTGGATATAATGATCATGATGTATGTGCAGTGTAAACATCAAAGGAGATCCAGTTAAAGAACACAGGAAAAATACAAAAAAAAATTCCTTTGACCTTTGCTTCGACGTTACAGATGATCATGCTACTCATTTATAATTTACAGCCTGAAGCAACATGGGTCTCATTTCCCTTCTCGACAAGAAAAAAAAATAAAGAAACTCTTGAGTAGTGATACAGAAAACAGGGAAATACCATTAATGTAGCCCAGCTTTTGCAGTCCAGGGCAATGTGCTGGAAGTATCCTGTCACTATATTGTGTGAGATAATAATTTCGTGCCCATGAGAAGGCACACTGAAAAGCTACAGGAATGCAGTGTGAAATTAGTAATAGTTGATATTACATTTGCCAGCTTCACTGGCCATGGATCAGTTTGTCTCCTCTCTGTTATCAGGTCACAACGTGAGCTAGAAATTTCATAGTCATTATTTAGGTAATACTGGTAGCATATACCAGCAAGGCATGTTATGGTTATGAAACCATGGATTAAGCAAAATCATAAACAGGCAGTTTTGGGGCAGACTTTGTCCACAAAGCAGCTGATGTAACTGCTGGGTGGCTGCTAAGCTCTTCATTCACACATCGCTTTCATTTTGCAAAAGCGTCCATGTATTGGCAAAGATTTGTTTGGTTTTTCATGCTACTGTTCTATCTATGAGTAAGAATCAGCTTTGAGGAGTTAATGAGATTTGTCACTGCTCCCAAAGTTTATTTACGCAGAACTAGGAAAATTTATTACACAGAACTAAGCAGATATTATGCTGTGTCTGAAAAAGCAGCCTGGTGCAGGAAAAGGAATGAAAGGGCCAAAAACAACCATTAAGATCAGCTTCTTGTAGTTCTATATGTCTATGGCACAACTGACTGGTTGAAGAGAGCATCCTTTCCTCATGACACCCTTAAGAGCTGTAACAGACAACCGAGAGTCACTGTGCAGTGTGACACAAATTTAGAAGATAGAGGTTAATAAGGACTCAAATATCTCTCCATTAGCAGGAAATGTGTTAAATAAACACCCAGGAGGTCTTAGAAATTAAGCTACAAAAGAACACAGAAAGACTGGAGGCTGGAGCCAGCCTGGAGCTAGGAACAAACTACATCTGCCCTCAGTCATGGCAACTAGACCTTGTTTGATCATCATCCCACTGCCTGGGAGAACATGGTGGTATAACACCACTGATGTCACACCCACAGTCCAGGATTAATGTTTCAAAAAAAAAAAATAAATACAAATAAATACAAAAACCTAGTACAGTCAACTCCCAAAGACTAAAAATGTTCCTTAACATGCCTTACATCCACATGTGGACCTTCAGCTCAACTGACAGTTTAATTCCAGATCTTGTGGTACATTCCT